TGCCCTGATTCCCACTATTCCTGGCAAGAAAGATACAAGAATAAATCTACAACGCACACTAATAGAAGAAACTTGAAACTCAAACTGAAATTAAAATTCTCCTGTTAAACTTTGCAAGAAGAAAACATGGCAGAAATGGCATGTCTATAGACAAAATTTAATAGTTATTGACATAGTACACATTTTGAATGAACTAGATCCAAAGGATTTATGTACATTTGGACACAAAACATACTATTCGTTAGCATGTAACAACTGAAAGGCTGTCACACACGGGGAACACTGGTGACAAGGTAACAAATTTTAGATCAGGCTTCGACAATAACAATAAATGGAGACTGAAAATTATAGTTGACTCTTGTAAAAGTGTTCCTCTTTAAAATTTATTTTTACATTTATGAATGGATCTAAAACAAATTATAATATGGGACCAAATCCAAGTTAAGATATTCAGCATTCTAAAGATAAAGACATATTGTAGACAAGTTTAAATGATCTCGCTAATTGCAAGTTCAAATTAATTAAGTTTATAAAACTAATTCATAAACAAGACAATATTTTTTTATTAAAGTTATTGCTACTTCATTCATTCTGCTAATTAGGTCAATGTTTTTATTCATATTATGAATATATTATATATATATATATATATATATATATATATATATAATGTAAATTTCCATTGATACACTTCAGGATTCTTTGATAGAAATACATAGTTATTAGGTAAATTTAACCTAGTGGCAAATTATCCTTTGTGGTAAAACTGTATTAAATACATATTCGTCTTCTCATATTCCATGCAATTTTAAACATCATCTAGAATATTTTGGTGCTAAGACACTTCTATTCTGCTACTATTAATGCCTTGTCCTTGAGCATTTTCCCAATTCCCTCAACTGCCTTTCCTTCTGTTCTTCTGTCTCCCGCATCACAAGGCAGGAGAGAGGCCTGCGGGACTGGCAGAGGCTTCTGTCTATACCTGGCGAGTCCCAAGAGAGGCTCAAAAAAGAAAATGCGTTATTTTTAGAAAATGCTGCATGGCGCGTTTCCTTCTTAGAGAATGACAAGGTGCTGAAGGAATGGTCTGAAAGACCGGACATCTCAGTTTTCATTCTAATTATCCCCTTAGCTTGCTGAAGAATCTTGGAGAAATTCATTAGTCCAATTGTTTCTCTGTTCTTAATCTTTAACACGAGGGCCTTGGTTTTTAATCCATACATGTAAAAGTTGACGGAGAGTTTAAAGTTATCTGGTTTGATCAAACATTCCTAGTGTGTGTGTGTGTGTGTGTGTGTGATGTTATGAATAGTTATATTTTTATTCTGATGAAAAGATTATCCAATAAATGGTTGCTTATTATTGAAAACAGGTGACTTGGGAAGACATATTAAACAGTAGTTTGAGTGGAAAAGGTCACATTATTTTTGCAAAAAGAAAAAAAATGTGTTTAAAAAACTAGAAAAAAATATCAGGAATGAGCATATATGCCAAAGTATGAACATTGATAGCCTCTGAGTGTACAGAAATATGGACATTTTTCTAGGTTTCTACACTGTCGAGTATTTTCCAAAAATTTTAAGAGGAGTCAGTATAACTTTTATAATATTGAAACATACACTCTCAGAAAATAATGTATATGTTCTGAAATTTTACCCTTATTGCCCAAGAAAAACTCAACTTTCACATTTCCAAACAGCTTTGTTCGCTGGTCTGCTTGCTGTTAGCGCTAGTGGTCTTGATGTCACTCTTTGGCATAAACTCATTTCCCTGTTTCTTGACTGGAGTTACAAATAAATGAGCAGCATGATGTGGTGATGAGAGTTTAGAAACTGAGAGAGCCAAAACTGGGTTCGGATTCCAGCTCTATTATTTACAGTGTAGTTTAAACAAATCAATTCACCACATCACATTTAATTTTCTCCCCTGTGTAATGGGAGAATGGTGCCTACTTAATAAGATTCTAGTGAACATAAATAACCAATAGGAGGCAACTTGACCATAGAGAACTCAACGTACGTGAATGAGGTCCCATTTGTTTCTGTGTCCGGTAAGAATGTTCAGTTTCAGCTGCCACCATCGAATCTCTAAAAGCAGGGTGAAGCATGCCCCAGGAAAAGCATCTCTCTCTCTCTCTGACCTCAAACTCTACTAGTCCAAGTTAGGATTAAAGCCTTCATTTTGTACTTCACCCCTTGTAGTTGAACTTCACACCAGCCCTATACATGGTTGTCCAAAGAAATTGGAATTGCATTACTCTAAGTGCCCAGATAAGTTTATAGCTAAAGTAGGGATTAAAAAAAAAACCCAAGTCACAATGTGGCCATGCAGCTCACAATCAGCTAAGATGTGTACAGTGCAAAGCACCATGCTGGAGTTGTAACATTTGTAGAATGCTGTATCATTTACAATTAGTAAAGATTATTTAATTAAATAAATATCAATCAGATGACCACTACATTTTATTAAATGCCTATACATAAGCATTGGAAAATGCGAAACAAGTTTGATCCGTACTGCAGCAGTGCTGAATTTCTTATCCCTTTCAAATATTTGAAAATATTTTTCCCTGCAGAAAGTTATTGAATGAAAGAAAAAAATACTGCAAAAACTGTTATTGCTATGAATTATGTATAAAAAAGTAAAACTAATCACATGCACACATGTATTTATTTCAATATCCTGAGTAGGGTACACATATCACATTAATTTTATTAGAGATTAAAACTGACAAAGCCAAATGTATCTTCATTAATTTATGTCTGCAAACATCCACACTATGTACATGGTGGTTGTGAATTTTCATAGGTCATTTTCCCAGTCATTGAGAGTTATTGTCTGTTTCCTTTAATTGCACAAATTCTTTAATAAACTCCCAAAGGTTCCTTAAAATATATAACAAATAAATATAATAGATTAGAAAAATGTAAATTAAGCATAAAAAAAGTTTCAAAATGAACATCTATTTTAGGACACATTTGCTCAAAAACACAAAATGAGTGTTTGCAATCCTCCACTTCGATTTTAAAGGTTAGTTTCATAGAGTTTTGGCCTTGAATGTAGCAAAGATTCTCTGTACATAAGGGCAAACCCCCTGCAATTTTCCATATTAAGTACAGTGTGGNAAAAAATGTATACACGTTTTAAGGAAGGAAAACTATTAAAATTGTAATACTCAATATATCCAATAACAAAAGATGAATACAAATCACGTTTGACTTCTGCAATTACAAGACGTGCTCGAAGGCTAGACACTTCTGATTATGGCAAACTACTGCTTGAGCAATGTTGACCAAAATGTCCACTTGTATACATTTTTTTGGCACCCCTGATATAGTCAATGGAATATTATTCAGCTGTAAAAAACAAACAAACAAACAAAAAAACTTGCCATCTGCAACAACATGGATAGACTTAGAGGGTATTGTGCTGAGTGTAGTAAGTCAGATAACAAAAGACAAATGTCATATAATTTCACTTATAAGTGGAATCTGAAGAACAAAATAAATGAACAGAAACAAACTCATAGATACAGAGAACATTTTGATGGTTGCCATATGGGAGGTGGGTGAAAAAGGGGAAGGGATTAAGAAATACAAATTGTTAGTTATAGTCAGGAGCATGTAAAGTACAGCATAGGGAATATAGTCAATAACATGGTAATAACTATGGATAGTGCCAGGTGGGTACTAGACTAGACAGGGAATCAACTCATAAATTATATAAATGTCTAACCACTATCTGTACACTTGAAACTAATATAAAATAATATTAAATGTCAGCTGTAATTGAAAAATTTAAAAAGGGGGAAAAGATAAAGGGGAATAAGAGGTCCAAACTTTCAGGTATGAAACAAATAAGTCATGGGGATGTAATGTACAGCATGGGGATTATAGTCAATAATATTGTGATAAC